ACCTTCAGTTTGACCGGCGCAAAGTAGAAAAGAACAGCACTAGGCCAGAAAAGGAAGGAGACAACTCTCGGCCAAACTCTTAACCGGTGAGGAGCGTATATTCCGTACAGTACTGCACGGAAAAATTGAGCATTTTATCCACTAAAATTGCATTTCTCAAATGTGCTGTTATTGGTACCATTTACTACTGAAAATATCAGCGAGATGTTTATTTATATTTGAAAGACATATTAAAGGCTTTAACGCTTGTTTTTGACTCTCACTACTATTCATGATTGAACAAAACTTTTGGCAGGTGCTGTATGAGAAAGTATGTTTAATGAACAAGAGTCGAGAGTATAATGAGCTTTTTTTCTCCCTACCTGCAATTTTGCCAGCGCGCATCCAAGACATTGGAAGAGACACATTGCTAGAGAAAGTAAATGAAGTATACTGCGAAAGTTAAATTCTTTAGTCGGATACAGATTGGACTATTCCTTAAAAATATACTTCGAAAATCGTCCCTTTTTCATACATTACCATTACATAATTCCCATGTGATTCCCACTATTATTATGTAACACATTAAACGAAAGTTACAATTTCACTCACCTGTATACTATGCCTTTACTGTGCAAAAACTTTAATCCAGAAATAATTTCAGCTGCATAGAATCGAGCTCTTGGTTCAGGAAATCTTCCAGACTGTTGAATGTGGAACATGAGATCGCCACCATTGAGATACTCCATAACGAAAAATAGATGAGACTGCAAAGAACGAGAATATCAGTGCTCCATATTCCAAAAAATAGTCCGAAAATATGACCAGAGCTCATAGTCAGATAAAAGAAAATAAAATTGATATTCTTAGGAAGGATCCGTGAACAGTAGCAAATATAGGGTCTGCTAAATAGTGCATAGACGGAGGATAGGGTTGTTGGAATCAGTGGGTAGAAAGAGACATGAGGCTGACTGGAATATTGTTACAACAGCAGCGTTTGCTTAAGTGAAAATAGGAACATAACAGATCTTGGTCTAGTTGATATAATATCGGTCTTGGTCTTGGTCTAGCGTGTTAAGTTTTAGTCTTACTAACTTAATCAATAATTGTCGTAAATGCTGAAATTTTCTGTAATACATCCGAGCTTATCAAAAAAATAGTGTCAATAGTTATGAGAACTCAAAAACTTACCCTTCCTCCAATGCATAAATTGACCCTTCCTTCAACGCATAAATTCCCCTTTTAGCGAACACAATGCTACAAGGTGTTTGAAAGAAGTTAAAAAATAACGAATAAAAATTAATTCGTCTCTCTTTTTTTTACGCCATGTGTTATCCAGACATAGGAACAAAGAACACTTATTCCGAGGGCATCCTTGTATGTACAGGGTTTGTCCGGAAAGTAATAGGACTAATTTCCTTCCGCCGCGACTATACTTCGGAGCGTGCGCGCACCGACTGGATTCGGTAGAGGGCATTCCTAGCTAACGAACGAGCGGCTGGTGAGTTGTCTCCGAGCACCTGGAGAGTCAGAACAGGCTTTTTCGCGCGACGTGTTTCTGTGAGTGGTGCAAGCCGAAAATGCAGCGTTCGTTAGAGCAGAGGTACGCGATTAAATTCTTTGTGAAACTCGGTAGATCTGCGACAGAGACGTTTGATATGAACAAGCAGGCTTACCCNTTTGGGAAACTCGGTAGTCGTAAATAAAACTGATGTGTAGTCGTATGAATTATTTTAATTTCCTTTTTTATTTGATTTTGAGAAGTGAGGAGAACTAGAGGACCTTTCAATGTGTTATTCTCTGACCGACTATCCAGTCTTCAATTTTTCATACACCAGGGTCAACTTTTAGAAAGTTACCCCCGGTGGGTAGTTGTCGAAAAGATATTTTTTATTGAGGACCATAAATAAATCGCCTGTACGTTCAAAGGCCAGTTACGGCTATTGTACAGACGTTTTATTTATGTCCTCTGAAAAATACTAGTTTGTGTCCTCTACAAAGATCATGAAAACAAGGGCGTTATTGACGAATTTATCTATGTATTACCTTAATGTAATTATCATTTAATAAAAAAAGTGATTGCCAAAAGAATACCAAGTTATTTTCTTAAATCCGTTTATAGCTTGCGATTTATGTTAAGTAGAACGATATTTTTATTGATAGAGAGTAGGTCGTGGAAGTTCAGTGAGCCAGTTTGTTTCGATTATTTTTGAAACTGGAAGATTTTCAGTAGGTACATTTCCTGGTTTTGAAAAAGGATTGTCGCCAGGTGAGTGGGAATTCTAGACGCTTTTAACTTATTGCAACACCAAACATAATTGGATAATGAGGTCGAAATGGATAAAAATAAACGGAAATTATTATTCTACTTTTTCCACTAGAACCTGGTTGCTAACAGACGAGATGCTAATTAAGAAATTTTGGGAAATAGAAACTCGTTTATATCCTACACGACCCATTAATGCTGGAAGACCTAATTATATGCCTATTTCTATCTACTTATGACAGCAAGGAGATCGCCATCTGAACTGATGTATTTCATATCTTAGACAAGGGCCTTAGTAGTACCAAAGCTTGATGGCGTGCCGAAGAGATCTAATAAGATCAGGTAGCTAGGCTGCACCGTCAACTCAGGTAGACAAGTTCAAATACCTTACTAAGGTCTTGTACAACGCTTGAAATACTTCAATAGCTTTTTGGATAGTGTTGTAATTTTTGTTAAGTAAGTTAATAACAAAAAACATGATAGGGTTGAAGTTTCACATACTATCCGATTCTTCAGTCTTTTATCAATTTCTGCTAAATTACTTAAAAATAAATACATCTACTTTAAATATTAAGCCAGAAAGTCAGGTAACTCAGGACAGAATAGGCGGTAGAGAACAGTACAGGATCGAGTTGCTAATAGATACTATCTGTTAGAAACACGACTCTACATGGATGTATCACATGGATGATGGGCGCGACGGAAAAGAAAAGTTTGACAGTGGATAGAACATAAGGAACTAATAGAGGAAATAGGATGTTTTGCGACATGAAGGGACAGTTAGACATATTAAAAACTTAAACGTGAGTACAGAGAGTACAGCTTAACAAGTATAGGAAGAAGTTTCAGTTAGAAACGTTTATGCGCGGAAGAAAGACAAAAAAATTATTCGGAGGAAGGACGACAGAATAAAGGAAGATTTCTCGCACGTTTCCTTTAGACATGGAGAAGGGACCAACATGAATTGCTAACCAATTTGTCGACTGCTTTGAAAACATTGAGTACAAATAAAACAATCATTGCAGCTCGTAGTGAAATAAAAGAGAAATACATGTAGACTCAAGAAAGCAAACCGTAATAACAACAATAAAACCAATAACAATAGTAAAAACGATAAAAACACACAAATAACAAGAACCAACGGGAGTAATTGTGGTGTCCCCGAATGTTATCTCGCCAAATGGTCGAACAGAAGTGGCTTTCCTCGCTTCCACAAGCTTTCAGTTTACCGCGCATCCATAGGCGGAAACAATTCACACTTCTTCCTATTTGTGTCGATCTGTACAATGAGGCAGAGGTAGACCTAAACTGATTAGCATTCGCAAATAAATGCGAAGATTGGATCAGGATATTAGGACGCAGTGAATGTGATCAACCATTCTTTGGACTGAGGATCTTGAGATGATGTATTCAAAATAATTTTATAGAAAGATTTTTTTCAAATGCTTAGTTTAGAAAGTACTGACTAAAGGCTACCGTCACGATTTTTTTAAGTTGGAGGGACGAGGAGCTTTAATAGTAAGTTGAAAATCAAGTGTTTATTGACTACATAAAAAGGTCCTACAACTTTTTTTGTTGCTTTATAGAAGAACTAAGTATCTGAAGGGGCAAATTATAGACCTTCAAACAAACATTGTAAAATTAATGATGAACATAATTAACATGGTCGAAAATGATGTCTGATTTCTGTTACGTATATTCTCTGGTTCAAGTCGTTTAATAATTCCGTTCGTTTTAGTTTAAAAGGTCAATTCCCCTAAGGTAATTGTATTTCTATTTTAAGCAAAACTGACATAGAAATGTCATAATAATATTACTGTTTTCATTCTGTTACTGTTTACAACTGTGTAGATGTGTTAAACATTATAATTTATTCAATACATGTGTGCGTGTGTGCGTTTTAAACATAAATTTTTGCGGTTTTTACGGTTTAAATATTGCAAAATGTTGAATTATTTAATTTACACACTGATATTTTTTTGGTCCTTGGCCAAAAGCATTTTAATTAAGATAAAAGATTACACATAATAATATTTATAGAAACATTCCAAAAGTGTGTTGCATAATTTCGTATAACGTTAATCATACATCCGCAATACAGACTTTGGGAAAATGAAATAATTTGGAACAATTTGCTAAAATATATCGTAGATGATCTTTAACAAAAACATTTTATTATTATTATAAAAGAAATAAACAAAAGATCATCCACATAAGGCTTAATAAATAATAATTTTGGAATATGTAAAATTATAACATTGAAAAAAAAAATATTTTTAAATATGCACATTAATAGCATGTCCATTTTAGCGTAAAATTATTAGCTAAAAGTGCAGTTTATGGACACTCTCGTTGAAGTTGGCTTCAAATATTGCAATAGTGCCAACAAAACCTTAATACCCAAAACGCGTAGGAGCCATAGAGATAATCCAACAATGCAGGCAACTGCCACACCGACTATTATTTAAAGGACATGACAATGTCGTTCGTAATATTAATTTGAAATCATTTTTTCGATTTTTTTATTTACCCACTACAAACTACCTCAAATTAATGAGCGAAAAATTGTTGTTGTTGTCACACCCCCGCCGGGAATCGAACCCGGGACCTTTGGCTTTACGCGCCAATGTTCTACCACTAAACTACGAAAGGTGACAAATGCAAACACGACTAACTGACCTACAAGGTTAACGATCCGTCGATTTTTATTAACTTAATTATATATATATGCTTGCTTACTTCTGGTGCCA